CTTCTGCTTATTTTAGCTCATCTTGGGCTTGTTTTAGCTTGTCTTCTGCTTATTTTAGCTCATCTTGGGCTTGTTTTAGCTTGTCTTCTCGTTGAAGTCAAGTTTAATCTCATTCTCACATGTTGTACATGAGATGCAACATAATTATACCGTACCACTTTATTTATAGAGCTCTTAAAACAGCAACAACGCCAACAAAAGTGCTGTACAGCAGAAACAAACAAGCAAAGCACACAGCAAAAAAAGGAATAAAACACAATAAAATAAAAAATACATAGATCCAAATGGATGAAGATAATAACTAAATGGCTAACATTGTAGATTACAGACGGATTAAGAACACATCACACTGTGTCAAAAGCCAGGGGTTTTTAATGAGACTTAAAAACAGTGAGCGAGGGAGCCTGCCTGACATGCAGCGGTAACTCATCCCACAGTCTTGGACCTGCAACCTCTGAGCTCAACACGGGTTCCTGGAACCAATAGAAGCATCTAATCTGCTGACCTCAGAGGTGGGACATATGGCTGCAGCAGATCAGCGAGATAAGAGGGGGCAGAACTGTTCAGTGATTTAAAAACGTATGAAAGGATTTTGAACTGAATTTGAAAGTGAACTGGGAGCCAGTGCAGGGAGGCCAAAACCAGTGTAATGTACTCTCTTTTGCCTGTACCAGTTAAAAATGGGCTGCAGCATTTTGGACCAGTTGTAATCTTGCAAAGGAGGTCTGACTGATTCCAAAAAGAAGCGCATTGCAGTAATCGAGCCTGGATGTTGGAACACCTGGAGAGCTGGTGCAGGAAGAGCAACCTTCACATCGATGTGAGGAAGACAAAGGAGATGATTGTGGACTTCAGAAGGAACAAACACACCTACACCCCCACCACCACCTCAACATAGGATCTGCGGTGGAAGTGGTCTCCAGCTACAAGTACTTGGGTGTACACATGAATGACAACCTCAGCTGGAGCAACAACACCACCAGCCTGATGAAGAAAGCTCATCAGAGACTCTACTTCCTCAGACGGCTGAGGCGAGCTGGTCTGGAAGCTCAGTCCTCACCTCCTTCTACAGGTGTGCAGTGGAGAGCATCCTGTGCTCCAGCATCAACGTGTGGCATGGAGGCTGCACAGCTGCAGAAAGAAAAGCTTTGCAGAGAGTGGTGAAGGCTGCACAGAAGATGTTGGAGTCAGTCTCCCCACCATCACAGACATCTACACCTCCAGATGCAGGAAGAGGGCCACCTGCATCATGAAGGACCACACTCACCCAGCACACACACTTTTTGCCCCACTCCCCTCCAGTTAGGACTCTGGCAGCAGCATTTTGGATCAACTGAAGATGTTTTAAAGAAGTATTTGGACACCCAGATAATAAACCATTGCAATAGTCCAGTCTAGACGTGACAAATGCATGGAGCAGTTTTTCTGCATCATCTTTAGATCAGATGTTTCTAATGTTAGTGATATTACGCAGGTGGAAGAAGGAGGTTCTAGTAACGTTTGTAATGTGGGGGATAAAAGACATGTCCTGATCAAAAATAACACAACAAACCATCCAAGTGTTTGTAGAGTTCTCTGTACACGTATAACTGTTACACTCGGCTTCACCGTGACGTGTGAGAACGTTTCAACAGAGTTACAACAGTTGTGATGAATCTGCACACGTGAAGCCGGAACCTGTCCTCTGTCCAGCATGCTGGAGACATCTTCGTGAATGCTGTCCTCAGCAGTGTTAGCTCAATAACTCGTTCACTGCCTCTCTGCTTCTTTCTTCAGTCTGACCCACAGAACAATATTAACGTTGTCCTCCCTGTCCCCCTCCAGTCTGTTTGAAGACGAAGTCATGTCCTACGTGCCTCCTCACGCCTTACTCCACCCCACGTACTGCCAATCACCTCGGGGGTCTCCGGGTTCTTCTCCTCAGAACTCACCTGGTAAAATCATGTCTTTAACAACAACGTTTCAGGTGAATGCTGGTGTCCTTGTGATGGACGGGAGGACTGTCCAGGTGATCCCTGGCTGTCCCACAAAGACAAAAATGTATATTTTTGATGGAACTGATTACAATGTAAAGCTCTCATTGAGGTTGAAAGTTTCAGCTCAGGTCATTTTATGGACAGAAGAGTAAAAACAGGTGACAGAGCTGCCCCCTGCTGCTTAAAGAGTGTAATCACTAGAGCCCGACTGTTCGGTCGATCATTTTCAGACTTACAGTTTTGGCTCATTAGGCATTTGGGGACTTCTTGGCATGGCCGATAACGGTCCCATTATATAAACACTTGTAATTTTCACCTCTAAAATGCTGGAACCAGCTGTAAGTGTACAATGTACCCAACAGAGGGTGCGTGGAGATACTTTCAAGTCATGGCTCTTCACTTTAACGTTCTACACAGATGAAGCAGGGAGCGATACTGTGTTGTGTATTTTGCTGAACGGACCATGGTAAGTTTATTTGAACGGATCTGTAAATGGAAAAAACATCCCCAATAATAAAAGATCTTCAATCCTCCAACCTGCTTGGCATTAGCTACGTGCCTCTCGAGTTAGCAAGCTAACGTTAGTGTGGATACGCCGTCCTACAACACGTGACTGTGTGAAGTCAGACGGTGAACAAAATAAAGGAAGTCCTCAGACGAGGCTTGCTGAAAACCTTTTATTTATGAATTTGTAAAAAGACGAAAGTCTCCCAAGGCACAAGCGAATATGAGCCGTTTTCTCCCTTATTTTCTGAAGCGCTTGTTTTACTGGAGAAAATACACTGCCTGGCCAAAAAAAAAAAAGTTGCCACCAAAAAACAGTCCCACACTAATATTTCTTTGGACCGCCTTGAGATTCTCTGCGTCATTGTTTCAATAAACTTCTTCAGTGTCACCAGATCCGTTTCCATCCAGTGCTGCATTAATGTTTCACCAAGATCTTTCACTGATGATGTCAGATTCTGACCACTGCGCAAAGCCTTCTCCAACGCATCCCAAAGATTCTCATGGGGATAAGGTCTGGACTCTGTGGGGGCCAATCCATGTGTGAAAATGATGTCTCATGCTTCCACAACCACTCTTTCACAATCCGAGCCCGATGACTCCTGGCGTTGTCATCTTGGAATATGCCCGTGCCATCAGAGAAGAAAAAATCCATTGATGGAATAAGCTGGTCATTCAGTATATTCAGGTAGTCCTCATTCTTTGAGCTCATACTGGTGCTGAACCTGGACCTGACCAACTGCAGCAACCCCAGACCATAGCACTGCCCCCACAGGCTTGTACAGTAGACACTAGATGTGATGATGCATCACTTCACCTGCCTCTCTTCTTACCCTGATGCACCATCACTCTGGAACAGGGTCAGTCTGGACTCATCAGACCACATGACCTTCTTCCATTGCTCCACAGTCCGATCTTTATGCTCCCTAGCAAACTGAAGCCTTTTTTTCCAGTTAGCCTCACTGGTTAGTGGTTTTCTTAAGGCTACACATCTGTTCTTGAGTTCCTTCACATTGTGCGTGTTTAAATGTTCTTCCTGTCTCTATGAACCACAGCCCTGAGTGCTGCTGGTGTTCTTCTTCCGTTTGATTTCACCAAACGTTTAAATGATCACGATCATTCAGGATTTATTTCCAGCCACATTTCTTCCTGGAAGACGATGGGTCCCACTGTCCTTCCAGTTTTTAATAATGCGTTGGACAGTTCTTCACCCAGTTTTAGTAGTTTCTACAATCTCCTTAAATGTTTCCTCTGCTTGATGCCAATGATTTGACCCTTCTCCAACAGACGGACATCTTCTCCACGACCACCGTGAGTCTTTCATCATGTTGTTGAAGAAATGAGAAGCAGCTCATTGCACCAGTTGGAGTTAAAGAACTTGTTGCAGCTGAAAGATGATCCCCCATGCAGTGATGATCCAGCAGGAGGCTCAGACCTGTTTGATGAGTTAAATCCAGGTGGACACTAGTTTTTTTGGCCCAGCAGTGTACGTCAAAGATTGTTCTGTGGTGAGAGCACTCACTACCTCATGTGCTCCACGTACAATTTGACGAAGGTCATGTCTCTGATTGGAATTCAAACCCAAAACATTTTAACAGCTTTTAGCATGAATTTACTTAAACTAATTGTTAACTGTGAAAATATTTATCACCTCATTTATGTAACTTATATGTCAAAAACGTATTTCTGTCTTTGAACAAAAGGCAGCAGAGTGGGACAAATTAAAGGTGGATTTGATGATTGCTAACAGTTGTGCTAAATAAACTAGCCCCACTCCACTCGCTGTTTATTGAGATTCTTGAGGGTGGACAAAGCACAATTTTTTTCAGCCATTATATAAGTTATCGGCGGTCGACTGCCCTACCAATATCAGCGATAGCCAACATCTCCATATCGGTCGGGCTCTAGCGATTACATCTGAGTTCTGTAGAGTGCGACACAGATTCATAGAATAAAAAATGTACCGTTCCTCTGTTCAGTTCAATCTGGGCCTTATATAAGAACAAACAGGAAGACGTGAAGGACTGGGACGTGTGTCAGTTCTGTAAACATCTTTCTTTCTCCCACGCCTCGTCTACCTGTAGGGACTCAGAGAGCTAACGCCAGAGCCCCGGCTCCCTACAAAAGAGACTTTGAGGCGAAGCTGCGTAACTTCTACAGAAAACTGGAAACTAAAGGCTACGGCCAAGGTCCGGGGAAGCTGAAGTAAGTGGGTTCTTCGTGTGGAGACTCTTGTGTTTCTGCTCTGCTTGGTTTAACACGTCCGGGTGTCTGTGACCTTCAGACTGAACATCCGCCGGGACCACCTCCTGGAGGACGCCTTCAACCAGATCATGTGCTACTCCAGGAAGGACCTTCAGCGCAGCAAGTTCTACGTCAGCTTCATGGGAGAGGAGGGGTGAGGACCTAAAAGAAAAGACCACGTTGACACATATTTACCCCCCAAAAAATTAACAAAGCAAATTAAAAAACAACATATATATATATATAAGATTTTTTTATTTTTTTATTTACAAAAAAAAAAATTGGTCGTATATTTATGCCCCTACCATTTATCATACTGGAAATAAGTCACAGGAAAACCAAAACTATTATTAAGCTACAAAAGTGAAAGAAACGTGCGTCACGTAAAAGTCATGGCTGAGAACAGCAGGGCGGAGGGTGGTGATGGAGTCCACCACCCTCCGCCCTGCTGTTCTCAGCCTCATTTTATTTAATCCACCACTGTGGATTGGGTGGAATGGAACTGAGGGCAGCGGGGCGGGTGGTGGTGGAGCACCTTATTATAATATTATCGTTATTAATGGTCTTCGGCCGCGTGCGTCGGCTGACGCAGCGGCTGGGTCCAGTTAAGCTATAGGTGGGTCGCTGGCAGTCATCCATCTGGATTTTTTTGTACGTCTTTTAACCGGCCGGTCAGCACGGCTGGTTGTGATCCAAATTGGATCGTCAGCCGTGCACGTACGCTGACACACTCAAAAGCCAAACCAACCCGCCCACCCATCCAGCACATTACTTTCGCTCGACAGCTCTACCGCCCGCTGTTTTTAGTTTTATTTTATTTAATCCACCATGAGTGGAATAGGGTTGGGAACAGCAGGAGGGTGACGACGACTAGTCGAGGTGAAATATATAAACTTGTGTGATGTCCTAGACCCGACTAGTCGACTAGTCTATTCAACCCCTGGTGCAAACCCAAGTACTTGTAACTGGAGACCACATCCACCGCAGATCCTCCTATGTTCGGGGGTGGGGGTAGATGTGTTTACTCCTTCTGAAATCCACAACTGTCTCCTTCGTCTTCTTCACATTGATGTGAAGGTTATTCTCTCTGCACCAGCTCTCCAGGTGTTCCACCTCTTGCCTGTAGCTGGACTCATCATTGTTTGTGATGCATCCCACCACCGCTGTATCATCTGCAAACTTTACAATGTGACAGCCTGGATGCATAGGTGCACAATCATACGTGAGAGGAGTGAACAGGAGGGGGCTCAACACAGCCCTGAGGAGAGCCAGTGCTGAGGGTTATGGTGGAGGAGGAGAAGTTGTAGATCCTCACTGACTGTGGTCTGTTTGTTAAGAAATCCAGGACCCAGTTGCAAATGGAGGGGCTTAGTCCTAGTGTGAATAGTTTGTTCATCAGAATTTGGGGAATCATGGTGTTGAAGGCAGATGTGAAGTCCACAAAGAGCATACGGACTCAGGAGTCCTGCTCTGGGTGGGTGAGAGCGATGTAAACCACAGAGGAGATGGTATCTTCTGTTGATCGATTTTTGCGTTAGGCGTACTGGTGTGGGTCCTCGCTGATGTTGATGGTAGCGTTGATGTGGGCCATGACCAGTCTTTCAAAGCATTTAGTGACTATCAGGGTGAGGGCTACTAGCCGGTATTCATTCAGACCAGTCGCTGCAGAGTTCTTAGGAACTGGGATGACAGTGGCAGTCTTCAGGCAGGTGGGAACAGTTGCCAGGGTGAGGAAGGAATTAAAAATATTGGCGAGCACCTCACAGAGCTGATTGGCACAGTCTCTCAGCACCCTCCCTGGCATGTTGTCTGGGCCAGTGGCTTTGTGAGGATTAATCCTCCTGAAAGTCCTTTACTTCTGCTGAGGTCACGATGAGGAACTTCTCTTCAGATGGTGAGGTGAGTCTGGTGCTGGGTGGTCTATTTGTGTCTTCAAAGCAGGCATAGAACCAGTTAAGAGCATCAGACAGTGATGGGTCCCTAAGGCATTGTGTACCTCTGCTTTTATGGTCCGTTATGCACTTAATGCCCTTCTTCATGGTCCATGGGTCCTGTAAGGAGAGATGTCTCTGCATATGTCCGTGCATATGTAGCTTTGGCCCTCTTAATACCAGCAGCCAGCTCTTTCCTTGTCCTCCCCAGTTCCTGTTAGTCGCCAGACCTGAAGACAGTATCCCTGGCGTTCAGCAGGGTACGGACATCTGCGTTTAGCCAGGGTTTCTGGTTCAGGTAGCACATCACAGTCCTTGTGGTGGTGACATCTTCAACACACTTGCTGATGTATCCGAGGACAGCAGATGTGTCTTCCTCCAGATCCAGTTCTCCCTCATTTACAGTGGCTTTCAGTTAAAGTAAACGAGAGCATCTGGGGTGATGGTTGTAAGGTACTAACTTAGAAATAGAAGAACTGGATGATGTCTGTCTTAGAGAAGGATGATTCTGGAGCAGAATTTTGGAATAATGACATTAAAAGTATAAATTTATCGATGTGTTTCAGGTTGGACTACAGCGGACCCTCCAGAGAGTTTTTCTTCTTGGTTTCCAGAGAACTCTTTAACCCATATTACGGTCTGTTTGAATATTCAGCCAACGACACCTACACGGTTCAGATCAGCCCCATGTCAGCCTTCGTAGACAATCATCATGAATGGTAATATGGGTCACGTTCTGTTTAGCACCTGGGTTGGGAACACTTCAACATATAAAACAAAAACCAGGGATCCAACTGATTCACAAGTCAATGGACGACACAAACTCCAACCGCCTGTTTGTGTGTTCCATCAGGTTCCGGTTCAGTGGTCGTATTCTGGGTTTGGCTCTGATCCATCAGTACCTGCTGGATGCCTTCTTCACCAGACCCTTCTATAAAGGCCTGCTGCGCATGTATGTTTTACACATACATTAATGCACACATGAGAGAACTGACACTGAGATCAATTCAGATGACTGTGTATTTTTAACGTGAGTTGCTGTTACCTCTGCAGTCCCTGTGACCTGAGTGACCTGGAGTACCTGGATGAGGAGTTCCACCAGTCTCTGCAGTGGATGAAGGACAATGACATAGAAGACATGCTGGACCTCACCTTCACTGTCAATGAAGAAGTTTTTGGACAGGTCAAAACCCAAGAGTGTGTTTGTGTGTGTTATGGCTTATTTCAATTACATTTAGTTTGCGTATAGAGCTTACAGGTCAGAGACTCGGACTGTGTGCCGTTTGTGGAGGGATCAATCAGTAAAGCAGCAAAAGCAAACTTACCGGCAGTCGGACTGGTACACACAGAGAGTGGTAAGTAAGGACAAAGCTGTACCAAGAAGACAGAACTGGATCTCTCTCTGCAGAGACAACTGGATTTCAGGAAACAAAAGAAGGATCCTACAATCGACCAGGAAAGCAGAAGGACTAGATTCATTGAGAGGTGGTATGAAGTGTGAACAGGGGATTGGTGAGCAGATGAACATTAAGTGTGAGGAGCTGGAGACGGTGGATATCAAGTGGTAGATCTAGAAGAAGGGCTTCTTGCTGGATCTCTGCTTCAGAGACAGAAATTGGCAAGGAGCTTAATGACCTTGTGCACTAGCTTAGAAGGAGGCATCTGTCTGGATCACCTTGAAGACAGGAACTGGTAGAGAAAGTTTTTGACCTCAGGTGGAGCGTCAGCAGGATAGATGTTTGACAGGACCACCTTGTACACAACGATTGGCAGGAAAAGGTCTTGTGCCCTACTCAGTATTTTCCACAGATCTGAGGGTGAAACCACTGTGTCTAAAAATGTTCTGACATCAACGTTAGTAACTTCCTCTGGTGTCAGGTCCTCTAGATCCATCTGTTGGTTGGACTTAGACCCACAAAGTGAGAGAAAACTATTTTTTGTTCTTTTCGTTTAGTTAAAGATAGACCTGGGATTAGAGTCCAACATTGGAATGTTGCACTTGTTTTTTGTGACAAAGTGGAAAACGAGAAACCTTTAAATCAACATTTTGATTTCTATCTTTTATAAATCCAGATATTTATTCAGGAGGTAAATGATTAATTCAAAGACATATTTTCTGTAGATAACGGAACGGGAACTGAAGCCCGGTGGAGGAAACATCCCTGTCTCTGAGAAGAACAAGAAGGAGTACATTGAGCGGATGGTGAAGTGGAGGATAGAGAGAGGAGTGGTTCAGCAGACTGAGAGCCTGGTCCGGGGCTTCTATGAGGTTTGGATCTGAACACGGCTACTTTGTGTTTTATATGCAGGTATTCTGTGTAAAAGGAGGCTTTTAAAATAAATGTGGGTTTTTGTTCCAGGTGGTGGATGCTAGGCTGGTGTCAGTGTTCGATGCTCGGGAGCTGGAGCTGGTGATTGCCGGAACCGCTGAGATCGACTTATCGGACTGGAGGAACAACACAGAGTACAGAGGAGGTGTGGATCAAAGGAGGAAGACCAGGGTTGCTGATCCGATTCCACACAGACTAAACATATTTCCTGTTCAAGTTAAAGTTGGGTTCGTCATATGCAAGGTCAACCAAGGTCACCAGTACAATAAAGTGTTCAGGATGAGAAGAACCAGTTTGACTCGTTAAAAACAAAAAACAAACAAATAATAAATACTAACGCGTACAATAAGTGTGCAAAATAAAAGTGAAAAAGTAACCACAATATTTACAAGGTCCTAAAGAAATATAGTAAACAACATGGTAGAATATAACGGTGCAAGTAGGATGAGTTTGTACGAATAAGTATTTCAAGGTAGTAATACAAGCTAAAGTTCTTATAAGCTGTTACACCTTTGTTCAGGTTACCATGACAACCACATTGTGATTCGTTGGTTCTGGGCAGCAGTGGAGAGATTCAACAATGAGCAGAGACTGCGCCTCCTGCAGGTGGACCCCTGTTCTGTCACATTACTTACCAAGACCAGTCCTCCTGAGTCTCAGGTTGTAATCTGTTTCTGACTCTTCGGCAGTTTGTTACCGGGACGTCCAGCATCCCGTACGAGGGCTTCGCCTCGCTGCGTGGCAGCAATGGACCCCGCAGATTCTGTGTGGAGAAGTGGGGGAAGGTCACCTCCCTGCCCCGGTGAGTGATCTCAGTCTGGTTTGGAAGGGTTCAAGTGTTCACCCAGTTACTTCCTGTCTGGGCACAGTTTCTCTGTCTGAATCATGTCGGAGTTAAAAATCCTTTCTCTGAAAACGCTCATGTGCTATGACCAAGAGTCTGAATGACCTTCAGACAGTCTCGAGAACTGTTGATCCAGACCACTTTAAAATATTGCAGGAAAGTCTAGACTAGAGTTCGACCAATATGGAAATTTTGGCTATCGCCGATAGCGAGTAGTCTTCATGCACCCTCTGCTGGATACATTGTACAATTACAGCTGGTTCCAGCATTTTAGAGGTGAAAATTGGAAGTGTTTATATCGGCCAATAATGGGACCATTATCGGCGATACCGATAAGTCCCTAAACATTTATATCGGCCAAAATCATCGGCTTTATGGATATATCGGCCAAAATCATCGGCCTTACCGATATATCGGCCAAAA